ATCGGAATAAAGCCAGGCTTTAATGTTCTCAGGTACGTTTGGATTTTGTCAAAAGCCACAACTTTCTTTCACAACCCAAGTTTTTTTTCATGTTTTACTTGTTAACAGTGTTCTATTAACTTTCTTAAATAGCAGTTAGAATACTGAGAAAGAAAGCAGAATTAATTTCAAAACGACATCCTTCTGACGTTTGTCAAAAGTATTAATCCTCTTCTGAGAGCTAGAGACAGGTCATTAAATCTGATAGATAATTTTTGGCTTAAACTTTCTCAAACAGAACTTTAAATTTGGTTGTTGATTTATAACAGCAATTAAGTTTTGATTTTGACTGCAGATAGTAGTTTAAAGAAATTGAGACTGATAATTAAGCAGACCAGTTTATAGCAAATTTGGACGGAAGATATCGTATCTGTTACTTGACTTCTTTGCCTTAATTTTCTCCTAAGACCTATTTTTGCACTATATTTAAGATAAAAATTTTTACAACAGTTTAGGCCTATTTATAGATGCTGATTTTTGTGCCATACGTTGCTTAAGTGCAGTATCTTCAGATATTAAATCTGTTCATTATTCATTTTTTCACTTGCCATCGACCATTGATGCATCTGAAGAGTTTCGAACTTTGTCAAACGTTATCATTTTTCATACTGGAAAACTCTTTTTTTTGTCTAAATGAATGACATCTGAGAGTGTCAAAAAATTAGGCTTTTGAAGCACTTCTTTTCATCTTCTAAATTCAGGTGTTTTTATATCACACGGTACATATATTATTTGAGATTTGACACTAGTTTTTCAAACTGTCTTTCAAGTTGTTGAAATAAACTGTAATTAGTTTTGTTCTTTTCATTTACATGGCTGCTGTATCAGTTATTTGTAGAAAAAATTTGAACAAATCTTTTTACTTTCTGATTTATATAACTGGTTGGTTTTTAACCAGTTATTTACAATATAAAACTTTACAACTATTCATTAATAGTTATTGTTTCTGCATTGAACATACTCTTTACTACAACAGTGCTATTTTTGAACTTTTACAACAAAATATTTATTGGACGTGTCAAGAAAAAAATAAGCTTTTTTTGCTTGTAATTTTTGTTGCAAATTTAGCAGCTAAAACCCAGAAATTTTTTTTTTTTTTTACTGTAGTCAGTACAAATTGCACTTGGAGTTTTGTTTTTAAGTTAAGAATCTTCTATGGTTTTTTTTTTTTAAATTTTAGAGAATGCGTACATGGAACCGGGAATAGGCACATCTTGGATGCAAATGAAGCACAAATAAATCAACCAAATATATGCAGTCAAATAGCTTCAAAGGTTAGTTCTTAATATTGATGGTTGACTAAGTTTAACATTTTTGAAGCATTCGTTTCAATTTTTTTCGGAAATTTGATAATTACAGAAAAAAAAACCAATGATTTGCAGAATACTCGTTACATAAGTGTATATAAAAATAAGTGCTGTTATAAGAAACAGAAATAAATAGAAAAATGAATGTATATATAAATTTGAAGAGCGATTTTGCATAAATTGTATGATGAGGAAAAAAAAAAACTTGTGATGAAAATCTGACGGGGGAATGCGATGGGGTACGGTACTGATTATTGCCGTATACAACGGCATCCATTGGTCGGTACCGATGCACATCATTTTCCACTTCTTCTCTCATATGACAGAATGTGAAGGCAAAATGCTGTCGCCAATAAAATACATATACTTTTCGTATTATTTATATTTGTCTCAAAAATTTTTACTTAAATAGTATTTTCTGTGAATTAAACTTAATTTTTTTTTATATATATTAACTTGGAAAACAAAAAATTCTCTACAAAGTAGACGACACCTACGAGCAAACGTTTATGTTGCATAAGTTTTGGTGGCACTGTCTGACAGTTTTTAACAGTGATCATTAAAAGTTTAGTTGACCTGAAAATTAGCGCAATTGGAAATAAGTCTTAAGTTTTTATTTTGTATTTTTCAGACTTATTACATTCATTTTCCAACGGAACCCCGTGGGATGCGATTGGAAAAAAAAAGTATAGTTGGACGTACTGTACAAATGGTAATGGACGGAGCTGTTCTGCACCTTATTGAGGGACCTGATTCTGGTATAAAATCATTCATAGGCAAAGTCAACGGTGAATCTGATGTTAAAGATTTTGTTGACGAAGAAGGATGGAAGAAGAAATTTTCACGTTGGCTAATTGGTTTAGACTGGTCCTGCCTTTATGACGTCCCGTAAATTTTACTTTTTATCCTCAAAAAAAAAAAAAACTCCTTATTTAATACGGTTGGCTATTGACCAGCTTCATTTTTTTTTTTTTTTTTGTTTTGTTTTGTTTTGCATGGTTTGATGTCGTTTCTTTTTTGTTGTGATTGTGTAAATTTGTTGCAAGAATTAATTAAAATGCTTGTATAAAGAGATCAGTCAACAATTATTCTGTCATTTAAACTAGACTAAAATTTACATTTTCAACTGGCTATGCTTTAGAAATTGTGGGAATACTCGCTTAGCCGGTTATGCAATTGGTAACACAAATATCATTTAATATAAATCAATGAAAACACAGATTTTTTGTTCGTTGATTGAACATCTGTAACAAATATTCGTTATTAAACAGAGAAATCAATATTGGATGATGGAAGGAAAAAAGTAGAGGGTAGTTACAACAACATTATATGCCTAGAATATTGACTTTTTTAAGAATATTTTTTGCGAGGAATAAACGATTTCGAGCTTGGAAGTGAAAAAAAAAATAATAGCTTAAACACAGTTACTTAGAAAAAACATTTAAGCTGTTTAATTTGGTTAAAAACTTGACAAAAAAAAATATATGCTAAAGCATTGTTTCCACTCAATGTTTAACCAAAACCCTTAACATTAAAATTCGCAAAAAGCTTTTTAACAAAAATTGTTCAATAACTTACTTTGACTGAAACGTTACAGCCGTACAGTCTAACCGTATCGGTTGTTTAAGTCGGTCTCTAACTTGGAAGCCATAATTCCAGAACGGGTTTATAAAGCTTTGTGTAAGCAGCATAAAGCTTTTCCTCTATTTTCTATGTTTAATTGTGTAAGCACAATTAAACATAGAAAATAGAGGAAAACTCTTTGCAACGGTAAGTTTACTGGAAGAAGGCCTCGGGACTCAATTTTTTTAATTCCTACAGAAAGCAGTTTTGTGCAATGTTTTCTGTTAAGATTTAAACTTTCTGCTTATTCAACAATCACTTCATTCTTCTACAATTATTTTTATCGCTACAAATTCGAGGCAGATTAAACAGTCGTTAATCTTAGCATAATACAATGAACTTTTTACAACTGATGAAGAACAAAAACAGTTGTAGAAAATGCTTAAAATAATCTACATATTTGACAAGATATCTCCTATACTCACAATGCTGCTATAACTTTTTTTTTTTTTTT